TTTATTTCTGTGTCTTCAAGAGTACTTATTCGTTCTTCCATTTCATCTATTCTGCTTTCATTGCTTTTCCCAGAATTCTTTAGTTCTTCCATTAATTCTTTGATCTCCTGCATTTCTTTTACTTCCCTCTTTAGGGACTCAATTTCATTCTTCTGACCATTGTTTTCCCTCTCTAGGGACTCAATTGCATTCTTCTGATCGTTGATTATTTTTCCCTTATCATTGTTTTCCTTTATGACTTCTGTCAGTTTTTTAATCACGGCAATTTTAAATTCTCTTTCTGGAAGGCTCAGAAGTTCTTCCAAGTTACTGTCGTTGCAATCTGGGGGCTGGTTTTCTTTTTGTGGTGTGCTTTTTCCCTGGGGAGTTGCTAGGTTGCGTGTGGTTCTTCTCCTCCCTACTGTCTGTTTTCTAATTTGCCGTATGCGTTGGGACACTGTGTAGTTGGGGCTGGCCGGCATCTTGGGTGAGCTTCTCTGCTCTCCTCTGGCTCCTCCAGGAGTCATCTGTCAGTTTCAAGCAGTCTTTACTGGAGAAAGGTCCCTGTTCTAAAATGCCGATGTGGGGACACACTCCCCTGTGCGCCTGGTCTGCCCTGGCGGTGGGTTCCTGCTCCCCCTCTGGGCTTGGACTGCAGGCCAGAGGGGGTCTGGCGTGGGCGAACTTTCCCCGCTCACCTCTGGCTCCTGAGGAAGCCTTCTGCAGGTAGTCTTTACTGAAGAAATGTCCCTGTTCTAAGATGGTGATGTGGGACACACTCCCTGTGCGTCCGGTCTCAGGCACACTCTTCTGCGCGCCTGGTCTGCCCCGGCTGTGGGTGCTCGCTCCCCCTGTGGGCTCAGACTACTGGTCGGAAGGGGCCCGGCGTGGGCTAACTCCCCAGCTGGCCACTGGCTCCTCTAGGCGCCTCTGCTGGCTTCAAGTTGCTAGGTGGCGCCAGAGATCTCTCCTGGAGCCCTTGGGGAGCTGATTTTCCACCCCGTGGGACAGGGAATAGAGCGGGAATGGTAGGGTAAACCTCAACGGCTTTGGGGTGCTGTGTCTGCCTTGTGCCCCACCATGGTGGGGAACCCACGCCCCTAGTTTCGTGCCCCGGGTGTCAGTTCCAAAGCCCTCAGTTCCAGGACTCAGGCTGTAGCCCAGTTCAGTGGCGCGGGAATGGCGCCTTTTGAATCCCGCTCCCGTGCCTGGGCGCCTGGGCCTGCTCACTCAGTGAGGGCCTCCGCGCGTCTCCCCGCAAGCCTAGGTCGCAGGCGCAGGGACCTGGGCAGCTACGATCTGGATCCGCGTTTGCTTTTCAACTGCACTGCTTTTCCGCGCGCGATCCCGATTCCAATCCGCACTTGGTTTTCCAGCGCGCCGCTGTTCTGCGCAATCCTGACCGCGATCCACGCCTGCTATTCCAGCGCGCCGCCTTTCTGCATAAGCTTACCGGGCAGCCGGGGCTGTGTGCTGGTGCTGGCCTCCTCCTGGGCGGGGTCTCTCTTCAATGGTGCCCGGAGCTCACCTCCGCGGCGGATCCTGCAGGGTTCTCCACAGCTCCCGTTCACGGGGTGTGGTGGCTGCAATAGTTCCTTTCCACTCACAGTCCCGCTTGCTGCATCGTTTGTTCTTGTTGGTCGTTTTAGTTTGTTGTTTTCCTCCTCTCTGCCGGTCGGAGAGTGCCGCCTCTGTGGGCGGGGGAGGGGAGCAGGGTTCTGCGCTTCCCTCCCTTCTAGTCCTCTTTTATGGCCACTTTCTTCTTCGGGCAGTTCGCTGGCGTCACCCGTTTATCTTCCGTGTCCAGGTTCTCACTGGGACCTTCCGCTTTTCCTCCCTATTCACTTTTTTAATGGGAGATCTTACTCGCAGCGTCTCCTCGCCGCCATGTTGCTCCGCCCCCTGGATAAGTTAATTAAATAAAACCATTGACCACTTAATTTATGTCAAGCAATATGTTCATCAGTGCTGGAGGGTAAGTTAAAAAATATAAATAGATTTTCACCTAAATAAATTTAACCAAAGCTCAAGTAAATAATGTTCCTGAAATTCCTTAAAAACATTAATCACTATGTAGATATTAATAAAATCTTGACCTACAATCAATTTTTCCCCCTGGAAATTGTTTTCTTGTCAATTGGCATGTTGCTAAATCATCTTTCTCCTCTTGCAAGCACTACCCCCATGAGCCACTAGATTTTATAATGTGCGTACCTATGAGCTGTAAGTATGCATTTGCAATTTTAACAAACATTTAATGTCATTCATATTATGTACCTACCTAGCATTACACTGTTACAGGGAAATACATTCAAAGAATCTGTTATTTCATATTTTTCTGCAAAGTCAATGTAGTAGATTTTTATACAAAAATAATTAAAGAATAAAAATCAAGAAGTTATACCTTCCCTCAAGTGCTATATCCACATTCAAATTTATGATACCTGAAATGGAATATTTTTAATTAAAACTTGTGAATATGATCTACTACATCAATGTTCATCTTTGCTTGCCTTAGCATTCACATTTCCTCATGCCATTTACTAAGCCAGAATCAGAGGGGTGAAGCACAACAGAATGACAGAAATCTCCTCCAAGTTGTATTTCTCCTAGTGTGAACGAATACACTCTCAAGTTTCCCAACAATTCTCCACTCATAGGAATAAAAGAGTAACATCTTATGCCCACTCTAAGTAGGAGAGAGTGTAGTTTCTCCTCCCTTTCTAAGGATCAAGTCAAACATTTGTGTTCTCACTCAATAACAGAACCTGTTTTATCTATACATGGTCCCCATCTTATAATATTTTTGACTATGTGTTTTAACTTTCAGTAGTGTGAGATTATAGCCCAGCCAGTGTTTAGAGAGGAAGGTATTGCAGCTTTTCTGTCTATGCCTCAGGGAGGCTCAGACCTTACCCATGACCCCAGAGCTTTCTCCTCCTCACTATAAAGTCCATGACTACAGACCAGCAACTCAGAACTTGCTCTCTGCTGCCAAACACAGAAGGCTCCCCTCCCCCAGGGACTCTGGTAAGGAGGTAGAGAAAGGTGCTCACTGGGTTGACTTCCTGCTTTGTTACCTTTGCACAAGTAATCAGGTGGACTTGCAGAAAAGTCTAATAACACTAGCAGCCAGGTATCTGTTCCCTACTAGTTCATGGTTGAAAACCTGACCTTTCTCAGAGTGAGGTGAAATTGGAGAGCGACAGTTAAAAGGAATCACAGAAAGCTAGCATAAAGGGCACAGTAACATGTATAATTATCTCACAGTCATGACTCCCAGGAAGTAAGTTTTACCAACTATTTTTTACAGTTTGACTGAAAAATATTATAATAAGGAACATTGCCATTGTTTTATAAGTTTTCATTGAGTGATTTCAATGATGTATAGTCTAATTTAAAAATGAAACTTTAATTTAATTGCACATGATTATTAATATTTAGAACACTAACATCTGCATGTACGGTGAGTAAATATCCTCTCCTATACACTTCAATGTACCTTAAAAACTCTGTTTTCTCAAACTACCATCCATTCTTCCTGTGCCTTCAACAGAAGCAAATTTTCTGCTAATAATTTACATTTTAAAAAGTCGACACTCAGTAAAAGGGAAGAAATGTTTTTAACAATCTGTAATGTGTAATTCTCTGACGATGTAGTGGTACATGGATAGTCAGTGACAAACTACAAATATTTATGATTCTACTCACATGTGACACTTAAGAGTAGTCAGTCAAAAGCAGAGAGAGAGAGAGAGAGTACATGATGATTGCCAGGGTTGCAGAAAAGGGGTGGTAGGGAGGGATTCACTGTTTAATGTGTACACATTTGTTTTACAAGATGAAAATATGAACATGGATGTAGGAGAGAATTTCCAGTAATCTGTACACATAATATTGCTCAGAATGATGTGTTTAGCCACAATTTTAAAATGATGGAAAAAACAAAACTTAAAAGAGCTACTGGGTGATAATTCCTTGACCTTTTCAAAAGCTAATTACTATCATGCTCTATATTCAATCACCTAATATTTTCTAAAAATTTTTCTGTCACAATTAATTTCTACCGTTTAATATTCTTTAATTATTTAGCCACTGCTACTTTAATTTGTTTATAAATATGTACGTTCTTTTATGTTTTTCCCATTTGCAAGCAGTTAATTCACCTAACATTTTCCTTTACTCACAGCTTGTTTCTCTTCTTCACAGTTTCTGGAAAATATACACTTTATCCCAACTGCTTATTTTTCCTTAATTCCTCAGATTTTAGCTTTGATCAGTAGACACTAAAATCTTTTCTGGGTCATTAAAATGCTCTCAGCTGCATTTGAAGTTTTTAATCTTTGAGCTATTCAAGTAATCAGGTGATTCAAAACTGTCATTCACAAAACACCCAGTCATGACACCAAGCTCTCCTGGTTTCAATAGTTTATGTCAAGGTTTCTGGCCTCATCTTGCTTCAGTGCATATAGTCCCTTCCAATAACTTCTACAGACTTACATCTTTGTTTTTTCTTGTAAATATGCCCTCTGAATTTGCTCACTCAGAGTGTTGGATTGAAGTGGCACCTAACCAATGATAGCTTCTACCACCTAGAGAAAGTGATGCCTGGAGATTCACACCTACATGTGTACTGCAGACAGGGATGTGTGGGGTGGATTTCTGTTACTCATTTTATACAGAACATATACCAAACTGATGGATTACTTTTTAAACTGATTCATTATTCATAGAATCTCATGATACAATGGAGCTTGAATTACCATCACATAGTAAATAATTGTCATCAATATGTATAAAATCAATACACATATTTTCTAAGAATTTGAGTACAGAAATTCTTATATTTTCTAATTATCCTTGATAATGATTGCAGATGAATATTAAAATGATCTAGAGTTTTATAAGTGAAAGAGCATATACCACAAATATAGACAATTTCCTAAACAAAAGAAAATAAATCTGCACATTTTGAACAACTTCATTATTATTTTTATAGGCTATGAGCATTGTGAGGACAAATGCCACAAATCCAAGACAACATGGAGATCCTTAGTAACTTCACATCTACATTTCCAACCTTCTTGTTGACCGGCATTCCAGGCTTGGAATCTGTCCATGGCTGGATCTCCATTCCCTTCTGTTGTCTCTATGCCATTGCCCTTACTGGGAACAGCATGATCCTGTTTGTCATCATCACCCAGCAGAGTCTGCATGAGCCCATGTACTATTTCCTCTCCATGCTGTCAGCCACTGACCTGGGCTTGACTGTGTCTACAATGTCAACAACATTAGCTATCCTCTGGTTTGATGCAAGACAAATCAGTCTAGATTCCTGCATTATCCAGATGTTTTTTCTTCATGGATTTTCTTCCATGGAATCTGGAGTGCTGGTGGCCATGGCCTTCGACCGCTATGTGGCCATCTGTGACCCTCTCAGGTACACTACCATTCTCACTAATCCCAGAATCATTCAGATGTATCTAATAATCAGTGCACGCACTGTAATATTGATAGTGATCGTACTCTTGCTCCTTAAGCGTGTCTCTTTCTGCAGAAAGAATCTCCTTTCCCACTCCTATTGCTACCACCCAGATGTGATTAAATTAGCATGCTCAGATACTCGGGTCAACAGCATCTTTGGATTAATTGGTCTCATCCTGAACACAGGAATAGATATACCAGGTATTGTTGTTTCTTATATCTTGATCATTCGCTCTGTTCTCAGAATTGCCTCCCCTGAAGAACAACACAAGACCTTTAGCACCTGTGTCTCCCACATTGGAGCAGTTGCTACTTTCTACATCCCCCTGATAAGTCTGTCCTTGGTGCATCGCTATGCTCATTCAGCCCCCAAAGTGGTCCATTCAATGATGTCCAATATATACCTGATTTTGCCCCCTGTGATCAACCCCATCATCTATAGTGTAAAGACAAAACAGATTCGCAAAGCTATATTCAGTACTCTCCTTCCAAATAAACAGTGATGGTTACATTAGAGGGAAAAACTGAAAAATTTACTTTCACTGCAGTAGGTATCCAAGGTAGTTGATTGTCTATCAGTAATTTTTTACAAGTAAAAAATTGCTCATGATGTAAAAATAAGGAAGTTTGGGAAGAGGTTCATAACCTTTTTGTACTCATAGTTCTTATGATTCTTTTAAAATTCATGTATCTTTCCAAGAAAACAGCCACATGTCAAGGCACCCATATTTTCTATAAATTATCAGAGCATTCACAAAGCTATGAAGGAGTTGCTATGGTGACTTTAACTAACAATGTACCAGGTATATAATTCATGATGCACAGACAGACTATAAACAGTTACACATAAATAGAACTAAATTTTGACTCCTAATAGGGACTTACAGAAACTACATCAATTCAAGAGTTATGAAGAACCTCTAAAATCAGTTGCATAAAATGGTACTGTAATAATTCATTGAAGAAATAAAGATGAAAAATTGATGAATATTTCACATGAATTTGATTTCAGATGAAAGGTGGTTAAACCCCAAGCAAACGTCAGATCAATCTCATAAAGGATTCACTGCATCAAAATTACTTTCAAAACTTTGCTTGCTGTCCAATTTGCAAACAAACTCTACCAAGCAAGATAAACAAACATCCCACAGTGCTCTAACATTTTCAGGCTACCTAGTTCATTACTCTGTTCTGCAAATAAAGAAACTGATATCCTTGGCTATAATTTCTGCTATTTGTGCTACCCACTTAATAGCAGAACAAGGTTTTCTGGTTGTGTAAGGCAGGATTCTTGGAACTCTGCTATGCAGTTTTCCTCAGCAGAGGAAATACTTCAAATATATTCATGTAATTAATGGTTAATTTCTTTTTCCCCGTTTGGACACTTTTCTAAAAATAAATACAATTTTAATGTAAAGATTTCCATGCAGTAATCACTGGGATCCGACAATCTCTTTGAGATCTCGATTACAACACCTTTAGACAAACATCTAGATGTGGGCATGTGTTAATTAATTTTTAAATTTTGAGAAAGTTACATTCTGTTTGCTGTACTTGAATTACCAATTTAAACTCCCTAAAACAATGTAGAAGGCTTCTATTTTCTCCAAACTATTTTTCAATTTTTTTTATAATAAACAGTTTTATAACTGAGATAATGTGATTTTCATAGTATCATTTATAATAAAATGATTTTCATAGTATCATTTGTGATAAAATGATTTTCATCTCCTTAGTGATTAGTGCTATTGAGAACATTTCCTTAAACCCATCAGTGTACAGCTAATAACAATGAATTTTGTATATAATATTTGATAAGGGGTTACAATTTAGAAAATTGGGCGATGTCAGATATGTTTCTGGCTTTTGTTATGAATATGGTCTCAGGTTGTATACTTATCCCCTAATATATCAGGCAATAATACTAAATTAAGTAGCTTTTCATACACAACTCACACTTCAACAGAGTAGGATTGTACTAAGTGAAATAGCCAGAAGGAGAGAGTGAAATACCAAAGGGTCAAAGACAAATTATAAAAGCATTTCTTGAAAACTGAGAATTTCTTGAAAACTGACCAAAACTGGAGGCCCCCAGGAGGGGAGGTAGATCGGGAAGTCTAAGAATGAAAGGGGGGCGATCACAGTGGACTATGGCTGTGGACTGTGGGTCCTTCAGTGTTAGGAGAGCTACAATGACCATAGCTAAGGGGCAAAAACCAATATTGCCAAAATATTAGAAATATATAAAATAGTGGCACTTTATTAAAATAATTCATTGAAAAATCTCTGAGCAAATTCTACTGTCTCCGGTTGAGAAGTGAATCATTCTTTGTTGCCTCTGTTAAATGTATTGATTGATCTTCACAGCTGGTTAAACACTCATAATTCATTCTCTAATGAACAAGTTCTCACTATCCCCAATAAGGGCACTGTGGCTACTTATAATAAGGGAACGGTGGATACTTATATTTTCCTTAATCATCATCATTATTACCATGGAAATTGTATTGTTTGTTGAACATATGGTTTATGAAAAGTGGATAATATGGAATTCCAATTTGCAGACTATATAGAGGACCCTAACTCCATATGAAACATGATGACTAAATCACATATGAGAATTTTAGGTTCAAAGAAAATGCATCAATGAAGACTGAAAAATTGTGTGAGTCCTATAGTTAAACAAATATACTAAGTAACTAATCAAAAAACAACCAAGAAGAATTGAATAAAATGACTTCATTGTTTGTGTATCCTCTTTTATGGTGTGAAATATACCTTAAGAGCAATGGATAAGTTAATTAAATAAAACCATTGACCACTTAATTTATGTCAAGCAATGTGTTCATCAGAACTGGAGGGTAAGTTAAAAAATATAAATAGATTTTCACCTAAATAAATTTAACCAAACCTGAAGTAAATAATGTTCCTGAAATTCCTTGACAAACATTAATCACTATGTAGATATTAATAAAATCTTGACCTACAGTCAACTTTTTCCCCTTGAAATTGTTTTCTTGTCAATTGGCATGTTGCTGAATCATCCTTCTCCTCTTGCAAGCACTACCCCCATGAGCCACTAGATTTTATACTGTGGGTACCTATGAGCTGTAAGAATGCATTTGCAATTTTAACAAACATTTAATGTCATTCATATTATGTACCTAGCACTACACTGTTGCAGGGAGATACATTCAAGAATCTGTTATTTCACATTTTTGTGCAAAGTCAATGTAGTAGATTTTTATACAAAAATAATTGAAGAATAAAAATCAAGACATTATACCTTCCCTTAATTACTATAATCTAAATTGAAGCTAATGATACCTGAAATGGAATGATTTCAATTAAAACTTGCAAATGCAGATCTACTATGTCAATGTTCATCTTTCCTTTGACTCTTCTTTGCTTGCCTTAACATTCACATTTCCTCATGCCATTTAACTAAGCCAGAATCAGAGGGGTGAAGCACAACAGAATGACAGAAATCTCCTCCAAGTAGTATTTCTCCTAGTGTAAATGAATACACTCTCAAGTTTCCCTACAAAATTCTCCACTCATAGGAATAAAAGAGTAACTTCTCACAAGTGAGAACTTGTTCATTAAAGAATGAATTATGAGTGCTTAACCACTCTAAGTAGGAGTGAGCGAAGTTTCTCCTCCCTTTCTAAGGATCAAGTCAAGTATTTGTGCTCTCACTCAATAACAGAACCTGTTTTATCTATGCTTGGTCCCCATCTTATAATATTTTGACTTGATGTGTTTTAATTTTCAGTAGTGTGAGATTATAGCCCAGCCAGTGTTTAGAGAGGAAGGTGTTGCAGCTTTTCTGTCTATGCCTCAGGGAGGCTCAGTCTTTACCCATGACCCCAAGAAGCTTTCTCCTCCTCACTATAAAGTCCATGACTGCAGACCAGCAACTCAGAACTTGCTCTTGCTGCCAAACACAGAAGGCTTCCCTCCCCCAGGGACTCTGGTAAGGAGGTAGAGAAAGGTGCTCACGGGTTGACTTCCTGCTTTGTTACCTTTGCACAAGTAATCAGGTGGGCTTGCAGAAAATCTGATAACACTATTTTCACCCCATCCTCAGGGTCCCATGGAGCAGCCAGGTATCTGATCCCTACTAGTTCATGGTTGAATATGCTGACCTTTCTCAGAGTGAGGAGAAATCAGAGAGGGACAGTTAAAAGGAATCACAGAAAGCTAGCATAAAAGGCACAGTAACACGTATATTTATTTCACAGCCGGGACTCCCAGGATGCAAGTTTTACCAACAATTTTTTACAGCCTTGACTGAAAAATAATAATATAATTAGAAGCATTGCTATTGTTTTATATGCTTTCCTTGAGTTATTGTAATAAGGCATATTTCTTACTTTAAAAATTAAATTTTCATATAATTACAAATTATTATTAATATTTATAACATTAACATTTGCATGCACAGTGAGTACATATCCTCTCCTATACACTTTAATGTATCTTAAAACCTCTGTGTTCTCAAATCAGCTTCCATTCTTCATGTGCCTTCAACAGAGTAAATATTCTGCTAATAATTTACGTTTAAAAAGTGGATACTCAATGCAAGGGAAGAAATGATTTTACCAGTCTGTAACCTGCATAATTCTCTGAGGATGTTATGGTACATACAAATAGTCAGTCATAAAGTACAAATATTTATGATTCCACTCACATGTGACACTTAGAGTAGTCAAGTTCAGAGAAAGACAGAGTAGATGATGGTTGCCAGGGTTGCTGGAAAGGGGGATAGAGTGGAACTCACTGTTTAATGTGTACACATTTGTTTTACAAGATGAAGATATGAACCTGGACGTAGGAGATTATTGCTCAACATTATGAATATATTTACTGCCAAAAATCTGTACATTTAATAATGCTCAGAATGTTGTGTTTTATTTTTTTCAATAAAAGAAAAGTTTAATTCCTCAAAATAGAATGTGACAAGCTTCCCTTATTAGGTTACATGCAAATCTACTAAGCACAGACTCCTCTTTAATAAATATCAAGATACACAAAATATGTGAATATATCCGAATGATCAGAAACATAGCCATTTTAAGGCAAGAACCAGCTTCAGAGTAGCCATCTACACACCACCACACACTAGCAGGCTTTCTATGGCTTTAGAACTATTACTACTGAAAAGACACAAAATCTTGTGAAAACTGAAACAAGAACGGTTTGTTTTAATCACAATTTTAAAATAATGGAAAAAACAAAACTTAAAAGAGCTACTGGGTGATAATTCCTTGACCTTTTCAAAAGCTAATTACTAACATGTTCTATGTTCAGTCACCTAATACTTTCTAAAAATTTTTTCTGTAACAATTAATTTCTACCGTTTAATATTCTTTAATGATTTAGCCGCTGCTACTTTAATTTGTTTATAAATATGTACGTTCTTTTATGTTTTTCCCATTTGCAAGCAGTTAATTCACCTAACATTTTCCTTTACTCACAGCTTGTTTCTCTTCTTCACAGT